GGAGATTCAACAGACTCATCATCGGAGATATCTGCTAGCGCAATACCCCCGCCATCATTTGTTTCATCCATTGCGGGGTCTTAAGTAAAAAAAAATATGCGTAAGGAAAACAAAAAAATAAAATAAAAAATAAAATAATAATAAAAAAAATATATAAGAAAAAAAAACTTATGCAGAAATATAACGGTAAAAATAATACTTAATCCATCAAAGCAAAAAAAATGTGCCAGGAAAGTTAATCAACACTATAGGGAGATTAATCAGACTGCAAAAAAACAGTAAGTGAAAAAAAGAAAAAAAAAATGAAAACTTTTTTAGGAAAAACAAAAAGGTGTCAGAAAAGTTAATCAACGCTGTATGGAGATTAATCAGGTTGCGGAGAACGGAAGATAACCGTTTGTTACTTAACTCTCCACACAAGCGCACGGAGTATGGCTGATGACGATGATCTACTGATGTGAGGATGATGGTGATGAGTGTTTTCAACAAAGCACCGGCTGGCTCGCCGGCTGGTGAACTCGATGACCTTGATGTTGCAGTGGCGTGATGCGATGAAATTTGTTGGCTAAAGATGAACAGCTCATCTGCCGGACTCGGCCGGAAATGACTGCTTCCTTTCTCAAACGGTTGTGCGGCAAATGCAATTCCGCGATGCTCACTAAAGGGCGTCCACGATGAAATTGCCACACTATGAAATAGCTCTAACTTTTTAACCGTTGGGTAGAATTTAATGAAAATTTTGGTGGATTTAGTTCATAGTGCATTATTTACATCCTGCAAGTTTTAAAGTCCTGTGATCAAAACTCGGAGTGGAAATGGAGTCGAAAGAACAGCTCGTGCGTGATAAAATCTTGCGCATTCATCACGAGAACAAGGATCTCTCGCATCGTTCCATCGCTAAAACGTTGGGAATCGCGAATTCCACGGTGTCGCGAGTGATTAAGCGGTTCGAGGAACGGTTGACCACCGATCGGAAGCCCAGAAGTGAAGGAAAAAGTATTCCGTACAACACCAAAAATCACAACCGCGTAGTTGGGGCCTTCAACCGAAATCCGAACGCCTCCGTTAGGGATGTGGCTAAGAAGCTGCACCTAAGCCGAAGTTTTGTCCAGAAGGCCAAAACTAAGGCTGGGCTTCGAACGTTCAAGGTACGAAAGGCTCCTAATCGCGACGAGAAGCACAACAAGTCCGCCAAAACCCGTGCCAGGAAGTTGTACCTCAACATGCTGACGAAAGTAGAATGCTGCATCATGGACGACGAAACATATGTGAAGGCCGACTTCAAACAGATCCCCGGCAACCTTTTTTTCACGGCCAAGGATAAATTCAGCGTTCCGGAGCATGTCCGCACTCAGAAGATGTCCAAATTTGCGAAGAAGTTCCTGGTTTGGCAAGCCATCTGCACGTGCGGGAAGCGGAGTGCACCTTTCGTGACCCAGGACACGATGAACGGACAGGTGTACATAAAAGAGTGCCTCCAGAAGCGGCTGCTTCCTCTCCTGAAGGCCCACAACGTCCCAACAATCTTCTGGCCGGATTTGGCCTCATGCCACTACTCCAAGGACGTGCTGAAGTGGTATGCGGACAATAAGGTCAATTTCGTGCCGAAAATGTTCAACCCTCCCAACACTCCGGAGCTCCGCCCCATCGAGAAGTACTGGGCGATTATGAAGCAGCACCTTCTTAAACGACCTAAGGTAGTGAAGACAGTCGAGGAACTGAAGAAAGTATGGGTTTACATGCAAAAAACGGTTGATTCACAGGTTGTGCAGAATCTTATGGCCGGGGTTGAGCCCAAGGTGCGGGCATTTGCGTATGGACTGTAAATAAAATACGAGTAAAATGGTAAAATGAAGTTTAATAGTTATTTCTCAATCCCTGAAAATTTGATGGCAATCGGATGAAAACTCGAATTTTGCGAATCAATTTTGTGTGTGGCAATTTCATCGTGGACACCCTTTACACTTGTGTATACTATAACACCACTCAGTGTGAAAGCGGTTTGAAAAAAAAACCTCAATAGGGAAAAAAACTAGTACTGATAACGGAGTGCAAGCAACACTAGACCGAAACAGTCAAACGTTCGATGCGGAATGAAATATCAGACTTAAAGCACCGACAAACCAACATGAATGACCATATCAAAAATAATAAAATTTCTGACCAAAGCACACTAATGACATCTGGCTCCTGGTTCGCGGGAAATATTTAGCTAAGCTATGAACCCGCATGCAAAAGTTATGAATTGGTTCGTGTCTGATCTATTCTGAACAAATTATTTTTATCTAGATCAAAAAATACTATGGTTTTGACAGTTCGGATCACTGCACATTTAAATCGACCGTTTACAGTTTTCGGACATAAGTCAGAATTAAGTGTCATGTCGGTTTGTCGGTGGTATTAATTAAAATGATAATCATTTTGATTTTTTTTGATTTTTATTTGAACGGGATATTCACATTACAGCGTATATCACGTGATATACGCTGTCTTGCAATGAGCACTCATACATCTAGTTTTCACTGGAAATCTTATGCATGATAGCTCAAGACAGCCTGTATTACGTGATATAGGTTGTAATGTGAACAGGGTATTGTTACACAGTACATATTTTTCATCGACAAATCACTTTGTCTCTAAACGCAAATCACTTGAAAATCAATGATAAATCACTTCGATTCGTAGTGCCGCATGACCGACTAAGTCAAGTGCAAGGCATTTGGATTAGATGTGACAACTTTTTGCCGTGAAGAGCTCTATGATGGCATGAACTTTTTTCACGGATGCCAGTAAGATCATTTATTTTTCATGGTTGCCAAAACAACTTTGTGCCTCCGCTTATCTATGGAATCTATAGTATCTATAGTTTTTAGGCATATATGCATATATGTTCCTTCTCATGTTGCTGTTTTCGTGAAACCCAACCAGTTTTGTATTTTATTTTCTTCGAATTGGAGGTTTCCAACGAGGTTTTCAACGAGGTTTTCAATCGAGATCAATAATGTTTTTCTTTCTCGTCAGAACGGTACACAGCAAAAAATGTAATATCGATCAATGTAATTCAAGCTGATGTATGAAATAATGAAAGCAGATACAATATTACCAACAATCAATACGAAACTAACGATTTTAAATTGGCTCACCACTTTAGTAGCCTATTGGTCCCAAGCAAACGATTAACGTACCCTATTATAGTTGAAACTTTATTACTACACTATGTTTGTTTTGATTCGCTATGGAAGTTTGACAGATAACATCAGGGGTGTGTGGATTCATGCAGAACATGCAGGGGTGAGTGAAATAGCTTGGGACTGCTTGGGACCTTTGTTCTGGTACTGAGTGAGCCAAAAATAATAATGATTTTCTTCGGGACCCAGTGGTCTTAGAGTTACCTCTATGATAATATGTTGAGCGTGGTTCTATCATAGAGGTAACTCTAAGACTAGCAGGTCCCGAAGTAACGTGCTCAACTTTTTGGCTCAGCTCTGGTACTATCTTCGGTCCCAAGCTAACATAGGAAAATTCAATAACCCCTCATTCTATCTGTCAAACTTTCATAGCTAATCAAAACAAACATTGTGTAGTACTTGAATGTTGACTGGAATGGGATACGTTAATCGATTTGCTTGGGACCAATAGGCTAGTCAAGTAGTGAGCCAATTTGAAATCGTTAGTTTCGTATTGATTGTTGGTTCTATCACAAATCGATAGAACCATAGAACTGATGAATAATGAGGTAAATTCTACACAGTATTTTAAAGGAGCCAACTCTAAGCAGGTAATAATAGCAATTAATAATCAAACAACCATAAAAGGTAAGAATGAATTTATTTATTTTAAATACAGTAATGACCCGATTTTGTCAGCCCCTCCGCGTTCAGACTTTTTTCTTTCAATAATTTCACATAATCATAAATCTAAATTTTTCTCATTCGTCATTCGTTAAGAGGGATATTTAAAGTATACTTTGGTGCAATAGGTTCAAGAAGATTACTGAAAAAAGGCATGGGTTTTGTAGAACATTGGAAAACATTTTCAAAAAAGGGGGCTGACAAAATCGGGACATTACTGTATTCCATTCACATTTACATGATTTATCACATATTTCCGGAGAGCTTCGAGGTTGGAGCGTGGTTGTTTTTGTAGATGGGCACGTCGTTTGTCGGTTTCTCGCGAGTTGAGGCTCAGCCTGGAAAAGCTAATAACACAAACAGGTAGAAGAATAGTTCCTCTATGATTTGTTATAGTTTGTTTGCAGGATTGTTCTTTTGTTCGCGGGAGACCGACGATTGACGTGTTTGTTTGCAGGGGCGATTGCGCCCAGATCTCGGGGTTCTCCGGATTTATGGTCGTAATCTAATACACACAGTTGATCACAATACGAGCCTAAAAGCTGCAGTGACCTAGTGAGCACCATAGCTCGAGTCGTCTGAAAGTATTGTGTATCGCATGGAGAGCCCAACCGAGATTCTAGCCTATTAAGACTGCAGTTGGTCAACTCTCGAAAAAAAAAAAATAGTACTTGTAAGTTACAAGAAGAGTGTGTGTTTGACACATAAAACCTGTCAATTTTGCTTCCAGAGGGTCACAATCTGCGATTTTATTATTCGTGAGCGCTCACTCTGAGTGAACGCTCACGAGTCATAAATTCGCTAATTGTGACTCGCTTAATGCAAAATTGACAGATTTTATGTGTCAAATACATTCTTTTCAACCTAGTCTTTTAGTTTACAAGAACAAAATATCATTATAGCGTCCAATGATTCCATAATTTCAAAAATCATGTTTTATAGCGAAGTGAGTGGAAGCAAGCTTGGCCCCACTAATGGCGCAGGATTTCTTGCCATATTCGCCAAACTCGCCACCCAAACAACAAAGAGAACCCTGTTAACAGTGGCTGGTTAAATCAACCATAAGCCTTGAAAAAAAAAGTGCCAGAAAACAAGTTGCGACAGGCCTTATGTTAAGAAAAAAAAATTGTACGGATTAAAACAGTATATTCAATTTGCAGTCGATGTAGGTCTTCGTTCAGCATACTTGCGTATCTCGTACCTTTGGAGCTTCCCCGATTTGGTCAGTGGCATGTCTTCTACAAAGAATACTCCACCGCGAAGGTGTTTGAAATCCGCAAGTTTCTTGGCCACATGATCGATCACACGACCCTCACTAAGCTTGCGTTCCCTTCGAAGTTGAACCACTGCCGTCGGTAGATCTACGTGCAATACCGAGTCAAATAATCCCACCACGCATGCAAGTGACACCTCCGGTAGTTCCTCGATCGTGGCCTCAATCTCTGATGGGGATATTTGATAGCCTTTATATTTGATGATTTCCTTTTTCCTGTCGACCAAAAACAGATAGCCATCCTCGTCGAAATATCCCACGTCTCCACTGCAAACCCATCCGTCGTCGGTCAGGATCTCGTCGGTTGCGGCTTGATTGTACAGATATCCCATCGGTTTGATGGGATACCGGTGCCAGAGGACACCCCTCTCGTTGACGCCCACTTGTTTCCCATCATCATCCAGTGCCTTGGCTTCAATGTTCGGAGCCAGATGTCCTACCGATCCTTCTCGTATCGGTCCGAAGGCATCCGTGGCTATGAAGCCGATCTCCGACGTCCCATAGCCCACGCCGGTCCTACCCGAGGGCAGCCATTTCTCGATGGACTTGCGAAGTCCAGGCGTAAAAATGCCTCCACCCGAGTAGAAGACCTCGATACTGGAAAGGTCGGCTTTTCCCAACAGAGGACTCTGAAGTAGCATTGCAACTTGGGCCGGTGGACAGAACACGTGCGTGAGGGCATATTTTTTGACGATTTCGAAGAACGCCTCCGGGCTGAATGGGCGAGCCGAGATGTAGCGGGTGGCATTGTTAAACGGACCTTGAATTAATGGGATGAATCCGGATACCCAGTACAGAGAGCTGAACGAGAAGGCGGTGTTAAATAGGTGGATGTTGCTGTTGAGAGCAGAAGGCGGCAGGTTATACAGGTTGATATGGAATCTAGAACGATCGATGAAACCTACCATATCATAGCATATTGATGAATGATGTTTGCATGTGACAGGCAGATTCCTTTGGGCATTCCAGTAGTTCCGGACGAGCAAACAACAGCTGCGATAAGCTTCTCCGAGTCACCCAGATATAGCGGGCTGTAAAGCAAATTGAGATTGTGCACAGTCTTATCGATCATAAACACGTGAACCTTGACGGTAGACATGCTTTGCCTAATTCGCAGATTCTACTCACAAGTAACACTGCTCGTTACCGGTCTCCTTAACAACATCCCAACCGGACAAATCGCCTTTGTCGAAAGCTCGATCCATCACGACAAACTTCGGGCTTATCCCAACAGCCTGACAACTTGCCTTCACCGTTTCCACGTTATCTTCGTCGGCCACTACCAGCACCGGTTTGCTAATGCGAAACATGTGCGCCATATCTGCGGTCGTATAATCCGGATCAACGCAGTTCACGGGAGCCCCAATCAGGAAGCAGCCATACACCAAAGGCGCCACGTTTTCGCGATTCCTCACGGCAAAGCCAATCATGTCACCTTGCTTGCAGCCCAGCTTGGTCAGGTTCTGTGCGGCTCGTATCGAGCGGAGACGTACCTCTTGGCAGGTCAACTCCACTCCGGACTCCACACAGACCTGGGCCACCATAGTTGGGTTTCGTTCCAGTACGTTCAAGATCAATTGGCCCAGATTAGCTTGCGGGTTGAAAGGACCCGGCTGCCTGGGGCCGGACCAAATCTTTCCTGACGGATCGTAGGACGTGAACATGATTGCTCTGTGATGTGGTTGATGCGCGTTCTGGTCACAGAAACTATACCGACTGATGTTAGTCGATTGGCGCATGTCATGCGTAGATGATTTAGCTTATCTTGTCTCGTTTTACACGGAGATATATGTTCTAATAGGCAATTTCGGAAATAGATAAGAAGAGCGTATTTTTCATGAATGGCTTTCCTGCCCCTATCGCAAACAAACCTGAACCACCAATCCAATGACGTACATTGATAAGTACTTCGATAATGAACCCCTATGAACTGTCCCGTATGTACTATTTACAGAAATCACTTCCTCATAATTCAATCATTTGATCGATAAAATATTACTTCACCGTATGCCATTCTTCGGACCGTGGGAACCAACATCTGCCTGCCTACCACTTTATTACACGCAAGGTCACGATGGAGTCAAGTTTAAAAGAACCAACCACCCCCTATGACAACCTGTGGAAGATGCTCGTACGTCTCACAAATTATCGACCCTGTTCCAATTACCCCGTAATGACCATACTTCTTTTATAAACTGCCATCGATTCTATTTAGAATCATGCCACACCGAAATAGGGTTCCGCATTCTTCGAAAGTTAGTCGACCTAACAGGCAGCAGCAACAGCATGTTTCCACGTGACGTGTACACCTTTTTCGACGAAGATGAACAAGTTTGGCGGGGCCGGAACATTCCGCCGCTCTACAATCCGAACCAGGGCGTCGGAGAACTGATCTGGCGAGTGTTGAACCGGGCCCCGTGGAAGATCGCCCAGATCAGTGCGGAGAGTGGCGTACGGGTGACGTACCGCGAGCTGAGGCTGAGGGCGATCCGCGTGGCGCAGAACTTGGCCGCCATTGTGGGCATCGGACGAGGTGATTTGGTGGCGATCGTGGCGCGAAACAATGATAAAGTGGCGGCCGTGGTGTTTGGATGCTTAATGCTGGGTGCACCGATTAATGCTTTGGACCCAGGGTTCTATCGGGAGGACTTCGCGCACATGTTCGAAACGATCAAGCCGAAACTGGTGATCTGTGAGGGCGATTTGGTGGATCAAATTACAGGGGCGTTCGAAATGGCTGGCATCGCACCAGAGTTGATGGTTTTTGGGGCGCGGATTAACGGGTATGGGAGGGTCGACGATCTGCTGGTTGAAACCGGGACGGAGAAGTTCTATCAACCGGCAAGGATCGAGGATCCGGCGAATGAGCTGGCGATTGTGCTTTGTTCGTCGGGAACTACTGGCAAATCGAAGGGCGTTTGTCTCTCGCATGGACTGTGCGTGGCTAATTTGACCTGCATTTGGACGTGCTACGAGTCGGATCGGGTGCTGTGTCTGAGTTCCTTGTATTGGATATCCGGTATCGGTACGCTATTGATGGCATCGGTAGCGGGTGCGACGCGGGTGATTACTACGGAACGATTCAGTGCGGGTATGACGATCGATCTGATCGAGCAGTTCCGGGTGAGTTTGATCTTATTGCCCCCGTCGCATGCGTTGGCGATTTTGAACGAACCGACCGTCGGAATGGCGGATTTTTCGAGCCTGCGACATGTGCTTTGCGCTGGAGGAGCGGTGTCGGCGGATTTGAAGCGCTCGTTCGAGATGTATCTGCCCAAGGGTCGGCTGCACGTGATCTATGGGCTGACGGAGTTGGGAGGGTCAGGAAGTATGAGTGAAGCGGCGTACAAGGACGGTTCGGTTGGGGTTTTATCCAACGGAATCGAGGCTAAGGTTGTGGACGACGAAGGGAATGCTGTTCCTTTCAATCAGGGTGGAGAGCTTCTCATTAAGGCGCCATTCGTTTTCATGGTTTGTGATGTGGATTTTGTTTGGAGAGTTTCATTTAATCTAAGCACAATACAATTGCAGAAATACTACGGAAATCCAGAGGCAACGGAAGAGATGAAGGCGGACGACGATTGGCTGCACACCGGGGACATTGCCCGGGTGGATGAGGATGGATTGGTGTATATTGTGGACCGGAAGAAGGATATTATCAAGTATGCCGGCTATCAGATTTCGCCAACGGAGATCGAAACTGTAATCCTGAAGGTGCCGGGAGTGGTCGCCGTGTGCGTCACAGGAATTCCAGTTCCCGGGAATGATTTGCCGGCGGCATTGGTGGTCAAAGCGTTGGATTCCGAACTAACCGAGGAGAAGATTATCGATACGGTGGCGGAGAGGATGGTGGACTTTAAGCACTTGCGGGGCGGGGTTTACTTTGTGGATGCCTTTCCGATGACGCCATCGGGTAAGATGTTGAGACGGAAGTGCCGCGACATTGCCGTTGAGCTGTATAATGAGATGCAAAATTGAGGCTGATATTTTTATTTCAACAGCCAACGGTCGTAAAACAACTGTCAAACTTTTAACAAGCTCTACACACTTAGAAATGATTGCCAACTTTGGTAATTTTTAATTGATGAGTTTTAAAGCTTCAAAACAAGGAAAACTTGACCGCAATGGCACGACTCGATTATTTAAACAAGACTGACAGTGTTTTGAAATTGAAATTTAGTGAAACAGCGTTAATCTGTTAAAAGTTCGGTAATAATTTCTAAGCGTGTAGGTGAAGTTTTTTTTTTGCGTTTCTGTTCAAATTTGTCTTTAACTTCTTAAATATTGCGACACATTCTGCGCGAGTTACGTCACCTAGATGACTGTATAAATAGCAGTCAACTCATGTCACACTACTCACAAAATAAGCACCATGTTAACATCAAATTTTGCATTATGTTACATTCCCCCTATTCTGCGAGTCGTGTGACCCTCTACCTCTTGAGCTTTACATGACTCGTAGATTACAAAGGTAAAAATGAAAACGATAGAACAATCGTAATGCTTAATTACATCTTTACCATTAGATCATTTTATTAGTCAATTTGCAGCATATCTCGCGGAAGGCGACATCGGTACCTTTTGTGGCGCAAAATAATAAAAAATAGTGGATAAATTACAGCTAACAGTATTCGGATCTAGCCTATTATAGACACAAAAGTTATTATATTATACAAAATAGAAAATTTGTACCCCCAGGAAGCGTGTTGCTCGTTATTTCCTTCCACCGGACATTAATCTTCGAACCGAATCTTCTTGTTGGGCGGGGTGTCCGCCTTGTCCATCGGTTTATCACGATTCTTGTGGTCGTACAGTCCGGCCCGAACGAACCGCTTGGCGGCTCCTTGATCTAGCAGCGGCCGGTTGAACCGGCGGTCGTAGATTTCCTTCTCCCGGACCATGGCCGCCTTGATGCGAGTCAGTTCGTCTTTGATTCCGTGCTGCAATTAACAAGCAAAGTATGTTATCAATCGAAATCGCAAGTTCCGCTTCTGAAATTCACCTTGTTCGGATCCAATCCGATGATTTTGTAGTACATCCAGTACAGCGAGTTGATACTGTAGGACAGATGCAGATCGTACTTGACCTTCTCCTCCAGCGTGAAGCTTTCGTAGTTTTTGTAGTCCTCCCGGGCAACGGCCAGATTCTGTCGGATCCGCTCGATGCACTCGGATAGGGTTTCATTTTTCTTGATGAAGGCGGTGTCGTTCTTCAACTCGCCGTAGTCGAATTCTTCCGCTTCGAGGGTGTCCATTTTTGTGTGATTTGGCGAAGACTGTGTTTATCCAAGGGAATACATATTAAGGAAGCCGATATTTTTTAAAAATACTGTAGCACAGAATAAGCACATTACCTGTCGATTTTCCGCACAATCACAACAAAACTTTGACAGTTTTTGTTTTGTTGGTTTTGTTCTGTCGGGGAGGTCGGTGATCAATGACTTTTATTTAAGGTCTGGGCCAACAGGCAGCTTGCTGGTGTTAGAAGCAAACAATGTGTAAACATTACTGAACATCTGCGAACAGATCGAAATTGACGAGTGCACGGATGGATTTGAGTTCACTCACTCGACAAAAAGTGACACAACAGCGGGGCCCTGTTTACTAAAAATGAACACATAGGTGTTCATTTTTAGTAAACAGGGCCCCGCTGTTGTGTCACTTTTTGTCGAGTGAGTGAACTCAAATCCATCCGTGCACTCGTCAATACGTCACTGCCAACATACTGAGAACAGATAGAAATACGTCACTGCCGACAGCTGTTTCGTGTAAAAAGACATCCATTGCAATAAAATACGAACACCACTAAACATTTGCACGTTTCACTAACACCAATAAGCCCTCTGGCCCAGACCTTATATAGATGTCATTGGTCGGGGATGAATGAAACACATGTCATGTTCTAGTACGGCAGTATCGTGCGCACGCAATGAACTTATTACAAGGGACTTATTGGTGTTAGTGGAAAGTGCAAAATGTTTAGTGGCGCTCGTATTTCACTACATTGTTTATCTTTTTACACAAAACAGCTGTTGGCGGTGACGCAATACTATCTGTTTGCAGTATGCAATGTTGGCTAGAGTGACGTCGTCACTTGGGTGCTCAGCAATGTTTGCAATATGTTTACTTTTAACACCAGCAAGCTACCTGTTGGCCGGACCTTATATAAATTCATTGGTGCGCTATAATGAAGTACTAGTATAATAACAACAATTTTTCAGCAGAATTGTAAAACTTCCTCTTTTGGAACTTATTAGTTTATATAATCGATAAATTTGAGAGAAGTTCCAGTGCAGTGAGGCGGTGGATTGTTATCCATATTGAGAAATCGATTCGTGAGATGTTTCAAGAGTCGTTCAAGTATTATAAAGCGCGGAACCCTCCGCCGAGTTTCGACAACGTTATAGATTTGTGCCGAAGGGATGTTTCGAATGGACTAGATCGCCGGTTGAAGGTAATAGATTGGTAAACAAGAAAGTTGTGTACAAGCACAAGGCACCGAGGGGTGGTTGATTTTTTGTATGAGAACTTGTGTGCAAAACGTAAGGACCCATTCAAATATTACGTAGTGCAAGAGGGGGAGGGGGTAGTCTGGCAATGCGAAAAAAGTACCAAAAATTAAGTTATTTTCACTCATCAAAGCGGGTCAAAGTAATTTTCATTTACTTGTGTGCAGTTCGTATGGAATTTTCCACTGGCTTTTTATCCAAAAGTAAGTTAGTTGTACCCAACACGGTGTTTCATGAAAACCCATTAATGGGTAAAAAATACCCATTTTCAAAATGGGGGAATTTTGAAATCATAAAATGGGACATGGAGGCAAACCAGCCGCAGGCTGAAAGCCTCCCTAATAAAGATAAATCAATTAATCAATCAATCATAAAATGGGTGATCAAATACCCATTTAAAGAATTAGTTCACGGTTGAATAATGGGTATATTTTTTTACCCATTAATGGGTGAAAAAACACTTCGAAATTTTATCGTCTCATTTCCGTCACCGACTCATTGGGAATACAAAACTTGATGCCAGGGTGGCCAGACCTACCGATTTTCGGGATGCCTACCGATTCACAGACTAAATGTTTAAAACTACCGATTTTTCACTTTTCTTGCCGAGAATCACAGATTTGTAGAAATCTTGAAAAATGTTCAATACCTACAGTTGTGTTCAATATAATAGCAGCATTTTAAACAGCAGTAATCTAGGTTAGTATTGGGCAATTTGACAGATCTGATAATACCATTTTCCCCCATTCACCATCTGTGAGTCAATCGTTACTTTGATTCTTCAATCTATCATCAATTAAGTAATCTTTTTATGAAAATTGATTCACAGGGAATCCAAACTGATAACAGACGGAGCGGCTCGAAAACTTTGGTGACGCACCTGCTACACTGATAAAATTCGACACATTTTTATTGGCGAATTTCCATGTAAAATTCCATATGATTTTCATGTGTCCACACATAAACAGAATCCACTCAGAAGTACACATGAAATGTATGAGTTAAATGAATAGTATGTGTGGTTACACATGAATTGTTTGTGTACACATAAGAACTATGTGTCCGACACATATATATCATTTGTTTATCACATTGCAAAAATTCATGTGCGGGACACATAAAAATAATCATTGAATTTTTACTAGTGTATTGTAATTTTTCAGTGTACCACATGGCAACACCACTACTACTGGATTGTACCACATGGCAACACTACTAATGGATTGTACCCGAGGGGTGCGACACATCTAAATCTCGATTTTAAATGGTCGAAAAATCTCACACTAGCGAATTAATCAACGAAAAATCTTTTTCATCTCTTGCATCTAAACCAATCTACTCGCATCGCTCTCCACCTTTTTGGAGGAAATCTATTAAATCATAATCAATCGTGTTTCTATCTATTAAGAGCGAGTGCATCTCACAACAGCAAAACAAAAAAATTCCTGCATCTTAGATAGAGTCGCCCCCCTCGATTGTTCCATAGAGGTAACTCTAAAGGGTGTCCACGATGAAATTGCCACACTATGAAATTGCTCTAACTTTTTAACCGTTGGGTAGAATTTAATGAAAATTTGGGTGGATTTAGTTCATAGTGCATTATTTACATCCTGCAAGTTTTAAAGTTCTGTGATCAAAACTCGCGGAAATGGAGTCGAAAGAACAGCTCGTGCGTGATAAAATCTTGAGCATTCATCACGAGAACAAGGATCTCTCGCATCGTTCCATCGCTAAAACGTTGGGAATCGCGAATTCCACGGTGTCGCGAGTGATTAAGTGGTTCGAGGAACGGTTGACCACCGATCGGAAGCCCAGAAGTGAAGGAAAAAGTATTTCGTACAACACCAAAAATCACAACCGCGTAGTTGGGGCCTTCAACCGAAATCCGAACGCCTCCGTTAGGGATGTGGCTAAGAAGCTGCACCTAAGCCGAAGTTTTGTCCAGAAGGCCAAAACTAAGGCTGGGCTTCGAACGTTCAAGGTACAAAAGGCCCCTAATCGCGACGAGAAGCAGAACAAGTCCGCCAAAACCCGTGCCAGGAAGTTGTACCTCAACATGCTGACGAAAGTTGAATGCTGCATCATGGACGACGAAACATATGTGAAGGCCGACTTCAAACAGATCCCCGGCAACCTGTTTTTCACGGCCAAGGATAAGTTCAGCGTTCCGGAGCATGTCCGCACTCAGAAGATGTCCAAATTTGCGAAGAAATTCCTGGTTTGGCAAGCCATCTGCACGTGCGGGAAGCGGAGTGCACCTTTCGTGACCCAGGACACGATGAACGGACAGGTGTACATAAAAGAGTGCCTCCAGAAGCGGCTGCTTCCTCTCCTGAAGGCCCACAACGTCCCAACAATCTTCTGGCCGGATTTGGCCTCATGCCACTACTCCAAGGACGTGCTGAAGTGGTATGCGGACAATAAGGTCAATTTCGTACCGAAAATGTTCAACCCTTCCAACACTCCGGAGCTCCGCCCCATCGAGAAGTACTGGGCGATTATGAAGCAGCACCTTCTTAAACGACCTAAGGTAGTGAAGACAGTCGAGGAACTGAAGAAAGTATGGGTTTACATGCAAAAAACGGTTGATTCACAGGTTGTGCAGAATCTTATGGCCGGGGTTAAGGCCAAGGTGCGGGCATTTGCGTATGGACTGTAAATAAAATACGAGTAAAATGGTAAAATGAAGTTTAATAGTTATTTCTCAATCCCTGAAAATTTGATGGCAATCGGATGAAAACTCGAATTTTGCGAATCAATTTTGTGTGTGGCAATTTCATCGTGGACACCCTTTAAGACTAGAAGCACAAACGAAGTGACAGACGACTAACTGGCGAAGAAATCCATTTAAATAATGTGGTTCACTGTAATAGAATTTTCTTGGAAGCTTGTGCCATCATCCACCAGATGGGTTAGTTTTTTTGTTTTGATTTGAACAAAGTTGATTTTGTGTACAATGATTCTTTGACAGTGTGCAAAGAGTGCGTATCGTTTTATCATTTTTTAATGCATTTCAGTTTTGAGTAGAGTGAAAGAGATAGAACCAAAACATTCTAGTACATTTGGTGAAAATGCTAGTTCAATCTAGTAGTAGCACAAACGAAGTGACAGACGGAGCGGCTCAATTTTCGAGTGTACCTCACGGCAACACTATCTACTCATATGTACTAGATTAAACTAGGGGGTACCATAGAGGTAACTCGAAGACCACTGGGTCCCGAAGAAAATCATTATTATTTTTGGCTCACTCAGTACCAGAACAACGGTCCCAAGCAGTCCCAAGCTATTTCACTCACCCCTGCATGTTCTGCATGAATCCACACACCCCTGATGTTATCTGTCAAACTTTCATAGCGAATCAAAACAAACATAGTGTAGTAATAGAATTTCAACTAGAATAGGGTACGTTAATCGTTTGCTTGGGACCAATAGGCTACTAAAGTGGTGAGCCAATTTAAAATCGTTAGTTTCGTATTGATTGTTGCTGGTACTCTCTTCGGTCCCAAGCTAATCGATTCACCCCTCGAAACATAGGAAAAACCAATAACCCCTCATTTTATCTGGCAAACTTTCATAGCGAACCAAAACAAACATAGTGTAGTACTAGAATTTCGACTAGAATGTTGTAAGTTAATCGTTTGCTTGGGACCAATAGGCTAGTCAAGTAATGAGTCAATTTAAAATCGTTAGTTTCGTATTGATTGTTGATTGTACCACATGGCAACACTAAATGTACTAGAATGTTTTGGTTCTATCTCTTTCACTCTACTCTAAACTGAAATGTATAAAAAAATGACAAATTGATACACTCTTTGCACACTGTCAAAGATCATATTGCACACAAAATCAACTATGTTCAAATCAAAACAAAAATACTAGCCCATCTGGTGGCTGATGGCACAAGCTTCTAAGAAAATTCTATTAGAGCAACCGTAACGGTCGTTGTCATTTGCGCGACTATTTTAACAACGCACAGCGCTCTCATTTTAGTTTAGTCACTCTTCTCCACACCGGTCGCTGCTATCGCGGTTATCAATTTACTCGCCGTAGTCCGTACCGGTAGTGAGCATTTTGACATTTCTACGAATAGCAACCTTTCTCTCGCGCTGCTATCGCGCTGCTATCGCGCTGCTATCGCGCTGCTAAATTTGGTAACGCACTTCTCACCGAGAAGCCGACTGCTATTTTAGTTACTCGTATGGCAACCCCCGATACGGTAGCTGCGCTATGATGAGGGCTGCTAAAATGAGTTTAACAGCGTACCGTTACGGTTGCTCTTACAGCGAACCACATTAAAGGGCGAACACGAAATTATTGCGACACATTCAACAGGACATAACTTTTTTACCATTGGGTAAAAATCAACCAAATTTTGCACACTTTCTCATTGATGTGTATTGTGTACATGCTGTCAAACTCGAAGTCGTGTTTTTCGATTCAACGAAAATGGAGGTGAACCAACGCGAGTTGAGAGAACAAATTCTTTCCAAACACCTGGAATTTCCTGACCTGTCGCACCGGCAGTTGGGAAATATGTTGAACATTCACCATTCAACCGTCTCCAGAGTGTTGAAGCGGTTCCAGGAGCGGTTGACGTTGGACCACGGCAAAGGAGCTGGAAGAAAACCGGGACCGGATAACAAAAAGACGGAGGGAAAGGTGAAGCGGATGATTAAAGCAAATCCCAACGTCTCAAGCCGTGATTTGGCTAAAAAGATAGGCATGTCGCAGAGATACGTCCAGAATGCAAAGAAGAGAGCTGGACTACATACATACAAGGTACAGAACTTCCTAAACCGCGATGAGCGGCAACAATCGACGGCTAAAACTCGGGCACGGAAGCTCTACGAGAAGATGCTGACAAAATATGGCTGCTGTGTGATGGACGACGAAACGTATGTAAAAGCCGATTTTAAGCAAATTCCGGGGTTGGAGTTTTTCACCGGCAAGAGCAAGTTCGATGTGGACGACAAATTTAAGAAGAAGAAAATGTCGAAGTTCGCCTCCAAATATCTCATTTGGCAGGCCATCTGCTCTTGCGGACTGAGGAGTGATCCTTTCGTGACAAGGGCATAGTAAATGGCGAGATCTACAAATCTGAGTGCCTCGAGAAGCGCCTTTTGCCGTTCTTGCAGCAGCACGACGAAGCTCCGCTATTTTGGCCAGATTTGGCATCATGCTACTATTCTAAAAGTGTCCTGGAGTGGTATGAGGCCAATTCTGTCCATTTTGTTCCAAAGGACATGAATCCGCCAAACTGTCCGGAGCTGCGCCCGGTGGAGCAGTACTGAGCAATAATGAAGCGGGAACTTCGGAAGAGCAAGAAGACAGTCAAAGACGAGAAGGACATGTTAAGAAAATGAAAAAAAAAACTGAGAAACTGGTACCGGATGACACTGTAAAGACTTTGATGGAGGGCATCAAGCGAAAATGCGTTCAATTTTACGTTACCCTAAAATTTTAGTTTGATTCTAAACATTATAAGAAAATTGGCATGTCATTTTCGGTGTCGCAATAATTTCGTGTTCGCCTTTTATTTTAATTGATTTCTTCACCAGTTAGTCGTCTGTCACTTCGTTTGTGATTTTTTTTTTTAAACTTTATTTAAGAGATTTTTAGCCTTAGGCTAGTTCATCTCTTATTTGTGATATAAGAATGTTTTGGTTCTATCTCTTTCACTCTACTGAAAACTAAAATGTATAAAAAAATTACAAAATGATACACTCTTTGCACACTGTCAAAGAATCATTGTACACAAAATCAACTTTGTTCAAATCAAAACAAAAAAAAACTAATCCATCTGGTGGATGATGACACAAGCTTTTAAGAAAATTCTATTACAGTGAACCACATTATTTAAATTTATTTCTTCGCCAGTTGGTCGTCTGTCACTTCGTTTGTGTCCATAGCTTTGCACATCGTAGTTCAATATTCTACAATATTCTACTGTATCGACTTCTACTTCACCGACTAATCGACAAATATATAAACAAAACTGCCAGAAGCCAGAGCTTTCACATATCTTTTTAATGAGTCTGATTTGGGATTCGATCATGGACTGTTGGGGTGTGCTGCTGCCGGAGTCTTCGTTCGATCTCACTGTGCCACGGTTGTTCTCATATATGAGGCGGGTTGATAGGATAAAGTCACAAGTCTTGTTTTCGATGTTTACCTTTCTGAGCAAGCAATTCACATCGCATTGAAATGCAAAACACTTTAAATCCATATGTTTTGAACAGTAGTGTGATTCGAGGTGTGATTCAATGTGCAATACACTTGAATAGATAGTGAAAGATTTTCAACATTTCAAAATTTGAAACATTATAAATTAACGTGTATAACACATTGAACCAAGGTCAAATACACTTAAAGTAAATGTGATTGTGCATTTAAAAAAACAAGTGTTTAAACACTTTGATCAAACGTGTGGAATTTTTTGAGTGTATGCATAGTGTTCTTATTATTATTAGAAATACTCATGGCGGTAAGCTCCAACTCGGATTAACTTTTAATACCGTCCCTTTTTGGATGATCTGCAACGTGTTTGATTAGAGTTGAGATCATTTAACTCCGATGTCGACATCGAAGAAGCCTGATATTGTTGATCGGGATTTAATCCGAGGATAATACCGGTTGGAGCTTACCACCATCAGAGGGGAGAAATCAGGGGGCTGGCAACCCTATATCAATCCTATACGTTTGACAGTAGGCAACATCACGGGCCTTATTTAAATACGGCCCGCCTGACGTATACATGTCAGAAAGGGACAGAAAATCGGGTTATAAGCAGGAAGACAAGAGCAGATGATAGCATCAAAAACATGGGTGCCAGCCAGGCCCCTGGGAGAAATGGACCGAGAGAATGTTTTGAGCCAAATGTACTGTCAAAATCTGAGCCAATCGAACATTCCCATTAGAATTTTTCCGAGGATTTTTTATTCTTACTAGAAGTATTGAGAGTATTGCAATCGAACATAAATTCAATCACCTTTATGTTTTGTGTGCTTCTCAAATTCAACTAGTTTTTGGAATCAAAAACAATATTCTAACTCTATTGATTAATTAATCTTCGTGTTAATGAATGAATATTGCGATGCAATCAGTTATTATTTTGCACGTGAATCGAATCAAAAATACACGCAGAAAAAAACATAGGTGAATCAAATAAAGTTCGTTTCACTTTAAACAACATTTTGAATAGAATATGGATCAATAAAATTGATAGAGTAATTCAACAAAACATTGAGTTGAAATAATTCTACTCTTTATTGAATTGATCATCGGTTATTATTGATTCAAACAAAATGTTTGCTTGGATCAAATTGAAGCATTTTTTGAAGCAATGTACGTTTTGTGTTGTCTTGAAACAAAATTTTAATTATTTATGAATCGTTTTTTAATGCCCAGGTTGTCTTTATTGAAAAAAAATATTGCAAATAATATGTAAAAGTAGTAATGATTGAAGTAACTTTTCGTTTGTTTGATTGAGACAATTAAGCAGTCACTGTTTGTCACGTTCGCTTAATTAAGTTGGCATTCTCGTCATATTCGCCATACCCAGAGCCATTCTGTTGTTGATTCTGATGTTGTTGGTGTTAATGTTAACTATTTGTGTTGCTGGAAGCGAGTGCATCTGCTGTAAGTGCAGTGATGGTGGCGGATGGTGACGATGATGGTTCAACAAGAGATGGTTCTCTTAGCTCTTCTGAGCCAGACGTTGTGGTTGGAAATTGGATGATTTCGCTCCTGGAAGTTTGGTGGAGCCATATTTTGGAGGAATAGTAAGGGTCACTATCTGATAGGGGAAAATTCATCTGGATGGACACATATTCAACGGTGGAGGAATTTTTAATCAGCATCGGTAGCCATTGTTTGTCTCAGCTCCGATTGCTTGATGGAAGTTGGGCTTGTCCATTTTTTTTCCTTGTTGTTATGGTTTGTGTCCACTGAGCATATCCGCATCTGGAAATGTGAAATAATAGAAGATTCGTAAATGCCTATTTTGAAAGTTTCACCTTCCACCTACTTGGTTCTCCTGGTTGAGACACATTTGCCATTGATTTCGGCCTAGTAGTTTTCGGTATGCTTGGAATTGCCGAAACAAACTCTTCGTATAAAGAAATAACATGAAATAAATTAGGAATATTAACATAGTTGAAAAGATGTGGTGAAGATCTTCATGAAATGCATGCCGACACAGACTGACAGTTTGACACATGCAGTTCAAACAATTTTATTAGTTTGATTTAAATGGAGTGCTGCATTTACTTAAAACATTGTTATGATTGAATCAAACAGAAATATTGTAGTTAAAAATAACAAAATATTTTGTTAATTTACGCCTGAGTGTTTTTTCTGCGTGTACAAGTCATTTGAAATGCTAGCTTCTAGCAAGGGTTGCAAGGTAACTTAGGAACAAAAACTTGAAGTTCTGCTGTTTACGTCTTGTTTAAAATTTAATTGAAATTCATCTGTCGTTGAACTAATGATTATTGTTTATTTGATTTGTTCAACATATTTTAGGTCATTCGTGACTTGCCCGGGGTGAGATTGGAGCCCAACCCGAGCAAAGCTGAAGATCAAATTGAAATCAAAATTTGCTGTTATGATGTAACTTTTTTTTGAATTTATTTTACTCCAGTTGATCTCATTTTGGTTGACTTAACGGTTAACACAGCAAAAATGAGAGCAAAATTTTACACTGTTGAAGCAAACGGAAAACTAATCCTGCTTTAAATGAAATCAATTTGTTTACTGATTTTGCATTCATAATGTTCAACTGAATACGGGCCTGGAGTAAATGGTTAACTTAAGTCTTTCAGCTTGAGAAACATGAATGGTAACCATTTACTCCAGGCCAGTATTCAGTTGAACATTATGAATGCAAAATCAGTAAACAAATTGACTTCATTGAAAGCAGGATTAGTTTTCCGTTTGCTTCAACAGTGTAAGATTTTGCTCTCATTTTTGCTGTGTTAACCGTTAAGTCAACCAAAATTAGATCAACTGGAGTATTCAAAATAAGTTACATCATAACAGCAAATTTTGATTTCAATTTGATCTTCAGCTTTGCTCGGGTATGGGTCTAAGATTGGGCCCATCGCTAAAAATCTGCTATTTATCAATTTTATCTAGATGAACGCGTCATTGGGACGGTACTAATGGATATTTTTGGTCGCTATTGAAAATTTAGTCGATTTCTGAATTTATGTATGGGCCCAAATTAGGGGCATTTAGGCCGACATAACATCCATTTCCCCTATAACGCAAACCACTCCTCGATTCATTGATGAAAAGATTTGCTGATCCTCATATGGCACAAGAATGGCGGCCAACACGTCAAGCGAGAGAGATTTAGGTGAGCGAATTAAGTTCCTTCGCGAGTGGAGGGCAGCATCGTTTTTGGCAATATAATTATATTCCTTAGGACTGCTGAGGTTACGGCAAATGAATGAGGAAAATGAAGCCGAAATTTAAAATTCCATAAGATTTCCAATATAGGTACTGGAACTATTTTAAATCAATGCGAGCATCCGATTACTATTTCAGAATGTAGCAACCAACATTACCAGCGACAGCCCCCATTCCGGTTTAATCCCCAGCAAAGAATGGCAGGTATACGAACTGGTCGACCGACCGGGGCTTCTCATCGTTGCAAATCCGTTCACCAAACCTGTCCACCGCTACTGGATGGCACGATGCCTCCTGGACTACCCCAAACATCCGAATCGAACCAATCTCCCCAGCACAGTAATCGAAAAGTATTCCACATACTCCGGCACCTCCGGTGATCAACGGGAACACTTCGATTGGTGGGCCGTAGCGCAATCGATCGAAGATCCTCAGCAACGGACAAAGGTCTGGAAAGCTCTCCGCTGGACCACCCTGGGCTACCATTACGATTGGACCAATAAAATCTACGACGAGGCAGCTCGGAATGAATTCCCTCCGGATCTTACCGAACTTTGTGGACATTTTGCCGATGTGCTTGGTTTCCGCGGTTTCCATCCGGAAGCGGCCATTGTCAATTACTACCCCACGGGAAGCACCCTCGCCGGTCATACAGATCATTCGGAGCAAAATCTCCAAGCGCCTCTATTTTCATTCAGGTTGGAACTCAAACTTTCTGTTATGTAGATCTTCGAAATGAAGCTTCCATTTCCTCTCATTAGCTTCGGTCAGCCGGCAGTCTTCCTGATTGGCGGTCCCAGTCGGGACGAGCAACCGGACGCGCTACTGCTACGCAGTGGAGACGTTATCGTTATGACCCGGGCCAGTCGTTTGTGCTATCATGCGGTGCCGAAAGTTTTCTCCTGTTCCGAATCTGGCCGGCAACGATGGGAGCCGGAAATTGAGAACGAACCGGAGCCCCCGGTTCCACCCACCGGTGCTTACAGCACCGCCATTTGGAACAATTGCCATCACCATCAGCAGTACTGGAGCAGTAACGGCTTCGCTGATTACATTAGTAATAGTCGAATCAACATCAATATTAGACAAGTTCTAAATGAGGGGGAAAATCATTTGTAAACGATAGGAGCAACCCGGACCCAGGAATCCCTTCCGGTTTTTTGTGTGGTGGTATTAAATTTTTAAATTTCCGGCTGTTGAAACGAAAGTTTGTGTTTTTCCGTTGGCTTTCGGGATCCGAAATTTTCCCTGGCTTCGAACGGGATGAAGAGCTGCATGGAGAACTTTCTGGTGCTGGGCTGCGGTGCATCAGAATCTGTAATGAGTTGACGACGGTTTTAGGGGCTGCTTTTGTTCCGCTCGAGCTGAGGATAAGTGAAACTTTCTGGCGAGATATGTATGAAAGCGAGCGAGGCTGCAAAAGCAGCCCGAAAGGAACCGGAGTTTGTAGATTAATTTCATATGCAGAGAAACGATTGCAGCGAGTATGATTATTATTAGGGGAGTAAAAGTTTCGTGGCCTTTTTTTTCGAGGCCGGGTTTACATCGACGTTCCGGCTGGACGCAATGGTGGAAGAATGGACGACCAAGGCAGAGTATGTATGTTTTGCGAGTTGGGGGTGGCAGGGATCGTGGGTGCTGATTGCCCTGTTTTCATCACCATCGTCGGAGTTGGGGAGATGAGTGAGTTTGTAGTAAAGGGTACCTAGATGTTTCATGTTTGTTCTATTCCAAGTTGTGTATTTGTGGGTAGCAAATTTACTTTACCAGCTCGTTAAACATGAAATGTTAATTTTGGTTGATGAATTCCGGGAGGGAAACTGGACCCACAGATAGACATATTCAAGCTAGTGCAGAATTAAGCGACGTTTCTGTGTAAACTTCCCAATGAAAATACGTTGCAACAATAGCGCTGCCCACCAGCTTGATGCTTCTTAGAATGTAACTCTCGTAGTTAGGGGTTCTATGGTAAGCTTGGCAATAATGCTATAAAAAAGCTTTACTATTCCCAAATTTAAAGCATTACACATAGTAAGAAAACTGTTTAAGTAATAGGGTCCTTGGTGAAGGATGTATCACCGCCACCAGCATCAGCCTAATTAAACATTCGAACATAATTATTCACACAAAGTACGTCTATTTGTTTTCCTGTGAAAGGTCGGCCAAAGCTCTGTGTTCCGTTCCCTCCATCTAGGTGAATGGCATAAAACTCCTTCACCTGGAAGGTGACTTCCATGGTGTTCGTTCCCTACCAGCATCCGTTTCATTAGCGAAATTGCAGACGGGAAAATGGCTGGGTGGCACTCTGGCAGGTTGGATCCATCCAAAGACGGTGCTTTGCAAGGGGAAGCAATTAATTTCGTCTGTGTGAGTGAACAAGGAGCTCCCGGTGTACTCGAAAAGTTGTGCTCCAAAAAGGAATCTTTCGTTTTGGCTGTTTTATGAAAGGGAGGAAAAGATGTGTCGAATCTACGGGTGCTCAAGATATCACGCGCATACCGGTTGGTGGTGGCGGTGTTAGGGGTCTCCAGCTCTCTCGTTAAACGTAAGTATGGGTGCTTGAGAATGCTGCTTCCTGGATGATTTTCAATAGTTCTGTTGAAATGCTGGTGTAATTATGGGCAGAAGCAATCTTGAACTGAAAAGGTGAGTGAGGTTTATTTTTTTTATTTTTTTTTTAGTTGAGAATTAAAGGAAATGGTTCACGGAAGTCTTTTCTCATACTATTGATTTCACCTGACGGTCTACGAAACTGAAAATGCTGCTCAGTTGTTTGCTGCAGAGAAGCAAGTATCGATTTAAATGGTCAGATTGCACGACTTCGGGATGATGAGAATTGTGTCCCTGAAAACGCGAAGTGATGGAGCAGATGCCGCTTCGTCGGCTTCGTTGATTCTTATCCTAGCTGTGCCCTTGGCAAACCATAAATTGACTAAGTTATTAAATATAACGGGCGGTTTGTAAACAAATTGAGTTTTTTTAATTCTCAATATTTCTCCATGTCTGAGATTTGAAGTTTTAGCTTCGCTCGGGTTAGATTTCCTTTTTATTCGAATACTGAACATAAGAATTCTTTTGGAATTATTAAACTCAGATTCCCATTTGAATTGTAAACCCTTGTAAAGCAATTTTCATAAAAAGATGAAATCAAGATTAGAAAATGACAATAATGTACATCCATAAGCAAATGATAGCCTTAGGACATAGTGCTTTAATTGTTCAATGCAGATGAGCCACCGCGGCGAAGATGTAGAACAGCGCATGCACAGGTAGGCGATAACCTGAGTTCATATGTGCATCATCACAGCAAAGACAGTTTGGGCGCCGATGAGTTGTAATCTGATCACAGGTATGGACCATCGCAAGCTGGGTAAAGACTAAGGGCCGATTTCTTCACCTCCGCTTAAAAGTTAAGCGAGGTTTAACAACAATTTAAACCTCGCTTAACTTTTTTCGGATTTCTTCACTACCGCTTAACGGCTAAGCCTAGGGCTAAGCCGAGTTTAAAATTTACCAGGTTTAAGATAAGTGTCGCTTAATTTAAGCGGTGATCTGAGGTGGTTTAGGAGCGTTAAGCGAGCGCTAAGCGGCGATAAATACTCCGTTTTGGTGGTTACTTCATATTTCGAAATAAATCTCGAAAAATAATCTACTAGAATAATGTAAGTATTTGGCTACACCTTTTCTCTGATGTGAAACGTCAGCTGAAACACTATACAACGAAAGCCAAATCCGTACCCGGAATGTTGTAGAACGTTCTTATGGCGTATTGAAACGGCGATTTCCAGTATTGTCGTTGGGAATACGTGTAAAAATATCAACAGTTCAGCTCATTATTGTAGCGTGTGCAGTATTGCATAATATTGCAATTGATGCTAAGGAAGTGGAGCCGCCAGCAGAAATCGAAGGATTTGATGAAATGTTAGCTGCAACTGCTGTTCCAGATTGTCCTAATATGGAAAGAAGCGCAACGGGTTGTGTTCGTGACCATTTAGTTCAACATTTTTTCTCACAGTTATAAAAAGATAATGTTTGATACTATTTTAAAATAAAAAAGCTACTGTGTAAACTGCAACCTTTTATTTACTATTGTAGAAAATTGGATAACAAACAAAAATTATTCACTCTCTGATCCGGAACTGTTCATTCGTCTTTCTGTGCTCTTCTCATACTTTCTTTGTTTGGAGAGTAATATGTGCTGACTCGGGTTCTACCTTGCGCTTCTGGACTTCGAGCCGATGGACTTCTTCTAACATTTCTTCGTCACGTTCTAACAACTTCTTTTTAAGATCTAGTTCGACTGTAGACTTTTGACGCTTCGTACGGCTTTTCAAAACACTGCTCATGGGCCTTTTTAACATTGCAGGGCTGTAATTTTCCCACTTATCTCCTCCTCGTGTTTGTGCAGAATTAATGCACCGACTATTGCGTCTGGATCACCAACTGGTGATGGAGTGGAAGGTGATTTGAGGGAAGAATTATCAACACGCTCGTTGCCCCCAACTTTCTGTTCTATCAAGTAATTATCTTGGCTACTCAAATTAACTTCTGTCTCCTCCAAATATTCGACCACATACGCATCTTCAGTCTTCACTTTGTTCGAACCATCTGGCATTGCAGCCTCCTCCATTGTGATGGCAACAGCGTTTTCGTCATAATCATCGTCATCGTCGCACATCGATCGAAGTCCATCGACCGACAGTGCAATAACCTCGCGAAGCTCAGCCAACACCTCAGATTTTGGCCGCCATTCGTCAGGGCCTCGACCGCCGCCGGTAGCCTTACGCGACATCTTCTCTTTAGAAGCAGCTTGACGGATAGTTTTTTTTTATGTTTTCATATTTCTTCTTTAATACTGTAGAAGTTCGAACCTAAGATTTAAAAAAAAAACAAAGCATTTTAGATAAATTTGTACAGCGGAGAAGTGGTAATTAAATACTATGAAATATGTTACTCACCGTGTTGAGGCAATTTGCATTAAACTCAGCGGTGATTTCCTCCCACGCACTGGCTTTATCATCATTCCTCTGCGTATCGCTGGCCTTACACTCAATGACATATTTGCGGTTTAATGCCAATCTCACCAGCAGCTCCTCCTCTGCTTCCGAAAAATTAGCCGAGCGAACTCGCTTTTTTTGTTCGATTTTCGTTGGCATTTTCTTTTCTACGTAATAAAAAAGCAAACAGGCAAACTCAGATCAAAACAAATCTCACTTGCTAAAAATGACGTTTCGGTTGGAAATATACTGGAACGATATTGGAAAATTTGCTAAACCAGGTTTACGGTAAGCGGCCGCCTCAAATTGTTAAACCGACGTGAAGAAATGCAATTTTTAAGCGAAGCTTACGGTAAACCAGGTTTAAAGCGTTAAGCGGGGTTGGTGAAGAAAACGGCCCTTAGAGGAAGAGGAGACAACTGGCTTATTACTCTTTAATCTCTATCTCTTCTATATATACCTCTATCTCTATCACTGACAGAAAAGTGGTTGACCAATGCACGGAATGAACTGCATGAACAAATTTGACGTTTGAGCGGTGCCGTGTTTACTACACTGAAAAAAGTTTTCACTTAGTTTCTATTAGGAACGCACATAGTATTTTTCCAAAAACAAAAACAATGATTTTTACCTGAATATCACATAGCATTAGAAATTCTATATGAGAAATCATATAGATTTCATTGGACACATAACGTTCATGTGATTTAGTGGTGCAATTTCCAATTATGGGATCACATGAAAGTTATGTGAAATTCACATGGATATTTTCCACTGGTTATGTGATTTATTTTATGAGTGTAAAAATGAACACATGAATAATACTCGCGTAACATTTATAAATGGCCTATCAACTTATGTACACAAAACATGTTAGACATTTTTCGCGTGAACCGAAGTACGCCCATGCAAACCAACAACACCATCGGGTAGGGTGAATTCTCCCCTTTCCGATAGTGGTTTGGTTTGCGTGGGTGTTCTTCGGCTCGTGAGAAAAGGGCCTAACAAGTTGTTTATAAAAGTTGATAGGACCTTTTCTAAAGTTACGTGAGCATTAAATCAAGTGTTCATTTCTAGTGAACACGGCACCGCTCAAAAGTCAATTTTTTTCGTGAGTTCATTCCGTGCATTGGTCAATAGACGAGTGCACGGATGGATTTCAGTTCACTCGCTCGACAAAAAGTGACACAACAGCGGGGCCCTGTTTACT